GTTTTGACTTCGTGTGGACGGGGCCTAAGTCTGGTCTACAAACACCCCTCAGTCAGGCATTGTGTGGCCTTGCAGGTGAAACAGACTGAGCGACAAACTTTTATAATGAGTAAAAAGCATAAATGAATATATAAAATGAGAGAAAGCAACATTTTTCCTAAAGGCAACTTTTAGCCTATAGGACAATTTGCAAACGTATTTATTCAGCCACTGATTGCTTAAGATCCTACAAACATTAGATGTTGGTAATTTTCATAATTGTTGCACTTTAACTATGAGAGACAAATAAAGGAAAAATATAAATATAATGAAAATAGAACGACACATTGGAAAAGAATATATTTATAAATTGTGGTAAAAATAAGTGTTTGGGGTTCATGTCACAGAAAGGAAAATGGATACAAGAAAACTCCTTCAGGATAACAGAATTACTTTAAGTACTTTTTTTTTAATTTTAACTATTTTCCGATCTATCTAATTCAAAGGGAGAAGGATTGTTTCCAGATGGAGCAGATTAACTGATCTTAGCCTGGACAATGCTCTTTTTTACCTTCCCGATAAGCTAGCCAGCAGTCCGTAGTGAATGCACACATTTCCTCTGAGGACGATAAGAGACTTCACAGGTCTCATGTAAGCGTGCCTTTCATAGCTGGAGTAGAGTTTGGAAACCAAAGGTTTGCTTTAACTATTTCTAAAAGCGTCCTTTCTTCACCCCCCCAACCTTTATCAAAGACCCAGAGGTTTATCGCTGCTGGAAATGAGAACAGGAAGCAGATGTTGTTCCGATTACGCACACAAACATGTCTTTGCCAAGCAGCAAATGGCCGTAACTAGCTGAGGCCTTCAGGCCTGAAAGGAGCCGAGGGGCCAAGTCTCTGAGACGTCCAAAGTTCTGTTATCTGCTGAACATGTGCAGAGGCTCAAACCGCAGACCGAGGGGCCCTTTCAGTCATCCTCAGTCTGTGTTCTTTATCAAGTCATTCAGGTTTCTGTGTGTAAACAGCAGAGAAAATACTAAATGTAATATATTTTCCCTGCAATAAGGGAATCATAACCGCTAAAGGAAAAGTCCGGTCAGTCAATACTCAATGGATCATTATTAATACCTAAAACTAATACGTTTGTTG